AAACATGGATATAAGAGAGAGCTGGATCAGCTCCAATCTGCGATGTCAGAGTCTTATCTTTAAGAAGCTAAGAGCTTGGAGGTTGTAGCAGCCCTAAACTCTAAAAGCACGTTGGTGATCTAAGTGAGTCGTAACGGACAATAGTGAGCTGATAGCGTGTCCCGCCAAGTGCTTTGGTAGATCCTTGCAACAAAAGCAGCTGACCGCCAAGTGTGAACAATGTGACAGTTGAGAGACTAGAGTTTGGGTTTTGCCAAGAAGAATCTAAGACAAGCAAAAGCCAAGAGCGTCGCCCAGTTGCTACCCGAGTGGCGGTGATCCCCCCAAAAAAAAAGATCACCGGCCGTCGTTCAAGTCCCGTCGGGCCGCAAGTCCTCGTCTCCGACACCGAAAGTCCAGCCGTCGCAATGTTTCCACTTTTGGCAGTGCCATGAAAGGAAAAAAAGAGTGAGATTGCGTCTTTTCGTATTTCTGAAGCAAGAGCATTGCGAAAAGTTGCGGAAGCTATGAGCCTGTTTTGAAACTTGTTTCGTTTCAGCTTGTGGCTGATGCGATGTTTTGAACAATCGTGGTTTTGAAACTCGCTTTTCGCACTGTTTGCATTCGAATGTTCTCCTTGCCAGAACTGACTTTTAAGCTCAAACATTCTGAGTTGGACAGCAAGGGTTTGTGCGAGCGCTTGCCATTTCATACTTTCGATATTTGGATTCCGCACATGTATCCATTTTTCCGTTTTGTGGGAATATCTGTTGGAATGAATGCTGATGAAATAAAAACGCAATGCTACAGCATGCCTTCTTTGACAATCTTCATGTGACGAGGATTCCTCAAGAAGTGGTCATCACTGAGCAGATGCGACGGCCACAGGACGTGGGGAAAAGTACGGCATCACACATTTCGGGCCGCATATCCTTGCAAAAGAGTGCTTGAATAAGTTCGCAATGGATGAGTATTGATGGACATGCTTGGAGTTGGAATGATGTCTCTGTGCCATTTGCGGGTGTCACAACTTACGGCATCCAGGCATGAGAAGAGGAGCCCGTGTCACGCATACCAAGCCTCACGGTGTGCAGGGCTAAGCTAAGTGTTTCACGTGCGTGTTTCATTGAGCATCGTCGTTGTATACCGTGTTCAGGCGGAGTGATGAAACATTACATCTCTGTCCTTTGTACACACAAAGCTTGAACAGTTGTAAGTGATTCTACATGATTTTGGCATGAGCCCCATTTCGCTCTGGAAAAGCAAGTGAGTTTTTACAGTTCTACATGGCTTGCAAGCTTGGTCAAAGCCCAGAACGCTTGAGAGCGACAAAAAGGCGTTCAACTTCTTCCTCGGAGTTGCAAACACAGCGCCGTTGAATTTCACGCTGCATGAACATTTTCTGTTGCATTGTTCGCTTTTCGCTGCACGTCATGCACTCAGCTCTTCACCTCGCGTAGTGGCGGCGTTTCCTGAGCGGGCAAAGGTTGCAGAATTACGTACTAAAGAGGGGGAAGTGTCTCTCGGCATCGCTTTGCCCAGACTTAGCTCTGCCTCGGATCGCATCGCAGTTTTCAGCAACCTTTGCGGGAAAAAGGGAGCATTGTGGTTGCTTATTTTTCCACACACATGTATAACGAACTATACAGAGAACGCTTTCTGTGGTTTGTCATTTTAATCAGCTGTGTTTTTCTTGGGCAGTCGAATTATGCATGCCCGCACTGCATTGCATCGGCTCAACCAGGAATAACACGCATGCAGAGACAGACGCGGGTTTCTGCATTTTCTTTTTTCACCCACCTTCCCACCTGGGGGGAAATTTCTCCGGGCATCGCTTTGCCCAGACTTAGTTCTGCCTCGTCGCAACCGTGCTTGGTTCTGTTTCCACATGCATGTATAACGAACTGCACAAAGAACGGGGAGTTTCTCTGGCCTGTGCCTCTGATTTCAGGGGTTTCACCCCCCCGGGTCAGCCACAAAGCATGCAGATCCCACCCGGAAAAAAGAATGCCCAGAGAGTGTCGAGAAGTGCAAACACGAGGTTTCGACAGAGAACTGCTAGCTGCGGTCCATTTCCCGCCCAGCTTCGAATCTGTGCCGTTGTGGGGCACCCAGCCGCCAGAGTGGCCGCGGATATGAAAAAGCCAGTCTTCATTTCCCATTCCAAGTCAGACTCAGCTGCAAGTCGGATGTAGCGTGCGCAGTGCAGATGCTATCCTGTCGACCAACGACGATGTAGCCGAATAGAGAACAGCATCCTCCTGCCGGAACGCCATCGACGTTCCGGGGTTAGAAGTAGGAATTGCGCTAGCCACACGGTCGTACCTCATTTTTTGGCGCGAAGACTACCGTGCTGCTGTTGCTGCTGCTGCTGCTGCTGCTGCTCAGAAACGATGACAACAACAACCATGCGTGAAAGTTGCAGTGTGCTAACGGTCTCCAATGTTGCACAACTGCCACAGGCAATGCTCAAAATGTTTACTCTGGCAGCATTTTCGAAAGCTTGATCGACAGAGAACCCGTGTTGCAGAAGCTGTTAGATTGAATTTTGGTGTAGTGCTTTCAGCATTCCGAATTGGATGTGTCGAAGATAGCGTGCCTAAAAAACCAGCCGCGGGCTTGCTTGTGTTGGTTTGTTTTGTGTTGGACATTTGGATCAAGATGTTGCGAGAGCCGTAAGTTTTTGGTGTGCAAATATGTCACGGCATGTTTAGATTTTTTTGCAGCTTCATGTCGCAAGAGGTTTCCAATGATTGTGAAAGTATGAAGTTTGGCATGTTGATTATGTTGGCCGCGGTTAAGTTTTGGTTTTTAAATCCAGATGCTATTGCCATTGATTCGATAACGCACCATGGCTTTATCTCCGCGTCGTCGTGACATGATCGCCCGCACTGCACTCGCTGCAGCACTCTTGAATTGTTGGAGCCATTCCGTTCACAGTTCGAAGCGCTCCAGCGCCCCATCCGTGGGCTTGCCAGCTCCTCAGCTCCCTCACGAAAGCACGGCAGTGTGCGTGATTTCACGCACATCGAAGCTCACTGGTGCACGACAGCGAAACCGAGCAGCCCAGGTGACATTATCCCGCCATGTTTGCGTTCGAATCTGCCATCAATTTGGACAGTTTGGTCTTGCTTGGTGAAGCCAGCCACAGCCTCGGTGTGAGACTGGTGCATGTTTCTTGGTCGCAAAGCTTCGAGTTCGCGAAAGCCGTCTTCTATTGAAGGTCATTGTCAGATCATGCAGATGAGCAGCGACTTCCATTATGAAGGTAGGATCGGCTGAGGATCTCTCGAACGCGCGGTCAGGTGGTGTGCGGTGTCCCGGTCTCGTGATCGTGTTGGTCGTTGCAGGCTATCGATATTATTACTATCCAGCGTATCTCTACGCCTCGGACTGAGCTGAATACGACGGGCATGCCAGGATTCGCCATGTATTGCGATGTGTAGTGTGCTTCCGTTGGAAGAAATTCTTCGTTCGTCAAATGCCAAGGCCCGGGAGGGCTGAGTCAGGCTCTCCCGGGCTACGCGCTCCATGGCGCAACCCAAGATGCTTGGCGCTTGAATCCTTGCACGTCATGTGCATTCCGCCCGGCTGCCTTTCACAAAAGCCTTAAGGATGCAACGCGATACGAAATCTCCCGCCCCGGTTGGCACCAGGCCCAGGCCGAGCCCCGAGCATGAGCGAGTCAAGCCCCCGAAAGCCCTGCTTGTGAAGTCTAAGTGCTTTTGCTAAAGGCCCCCGCCCCTGCAACCAGCATTGATGCATAGATGCGAGCGTCAATTCTGGGGAAGGTGCTCCAAGTGCAAGCGGCAGGCATCTTCTCTCCTCCGTTTTCTGCTATACGATGTGAATGGAGTGCAGGGGAGACAAGAGTTGCTGAGCCATGTTTGCCACAGGCAGCTCCTGTTGGCCGACGGCGAGGTGCTGCCGAGAAGGCATCCCTGCGTCCAGAATCAATCGCTCGTTATTTTACTCGCTGGTCGCAGGCAAGGAAGAGCCTTGCAAAAGCAAGCCTTCGGCTTTGCAAGGCACTTCTTACATCAATTCTCGGTGTCCGAATTTTTACATAACATTCATTGGGAGTAAACCAGTTTGGTTGTAGTTTCCAGGCCTTGGCTGAAGCTTCGCCATATCAGCGCCGGCTGACGATTGCCAGTCTCAGCAAGGCGGAGTGACGGAGTTGCATAGTTGGCAGATGTTGGCAGGGCCGCGGATGCTATCTTTGCAACACCCGTCTTGTGCAGGGCTTGCGCCTAGAGCTCATTTCTGTTCGAGAGGCTGGCGCTTATGTGTGGCTGGCGTGTATGGAGCCTTGACGAAAGCACAAGCATGCAGGCACAACAAAGCCACCTCGACAAGGGGCCAAGGACTTGGATGTTCCTTCTCAGCACGCAAGTCCTGCGATGTCGTGCGCTTCTGGAGACTCGCTGAAGACTCTTGTCCAGGAGCCGGTCGCAATCTGCTTGGGGCTTGAGCTGAATGCTTTGTCACTTGCATAGTTCGAGTTTTGCAAGTGTTGTTCAGCAGTAGGGTCGGACCTGACACAGTGTGACAATGTAGTTCTTCTTCACTGCTGCTGCTTCCGAAGCTTTGACATAGTGACGGGACATGAACACGGCAGGAGGCTTACTCAGTGCAAGAGTAAGATCTTCAGTGTTTTGGCACCTCTCTTTCCCAAAGAACATCGACAGATGTTGTTTGTCGCTGCGGACGTCAAGCAAAGTAGGGGGAACGCATGCAGCGAAAAAATCCTCTGGGAATCGACGAGCTAAGAAAACTTATTGAGGCTGAGGATTTAGGACGCATAGGCCGGCTAGGCCATCCTCGCCATGGCTGGCGAAGAAGTTCCGGGCACGGTTAAGAGACCTGCCGAGCTCTACGAAACTCCGGATGCCAAGAAGGCCGCACACCTGTCCATGCGAAACACCCGAAGATCCCATAAGCCAAAGTCTTGTTTGCTGCAAGATGAAGAAGCCAAAGTATCGACTAGCGCGTGTGGATGGAAGGCGAAGACTGACGGTGAACCCAAGATAAATCCTCTCACAGAGAGGGAATACTCAGATAGTATCTCGGCATCGAGAGCTTCGAGCCTACGCTGAGCGCGGCAGGTTCTTGTATCGGTGCCTCTAAGGATACTATGAGATCTTGGAGAAGCGTCAGAAGCTCCCGGCATGGGAAGCGAGGAGGGTTGCACATTCCATGACTGGGAAGCCCTAACCATCTCAAGCCCTAAACTCCACAGCCGGAAGGAAAGAGTTCCTCAAACTCATCAAGCGCAACCAGACTGTCGTACTGGTGGGGGAGACCGGCTCCGGAAAGACTACACAGCTGCCGCAGTTCCTCCTCGAGGCCGGTGCATAGAGTCTGGATAAGTTGAACATGTAGTTACACATGTGTAAACATAAGTAACACAGGTATAGCTAAGCAAAAGTTGGATACATAAAGAGACACATGAGTGCATTGATAACTCAATACATAAACACATCAAGAAAAGAGTACATGAACAAGTGCTGTCTTTGTGTGCGTGTGAGTGAGTGAGTGAGTGAGGGAGGGAGTAAGTGAGTGAGTGAGTGAGTGAGTCAGTCAGTGAGTGAGTGTGTGAGTGAATGAGTGAGTGAGCGAGTGAGCTGGCATTCGTGCTCGTGGACATGTGTTAATGGTTATGTACAAACATTCGGAGCTGTTGCATGCTGTTAGTACTGTGTATGCCAGCATGCACACCACCATAGCCTCCTTGGGTCATTTCAGGCTGGCTACCACATGCAGGGAGACAAATCCAAAGGTTGCTTCGGCTGCATACTGCTCGGTGACATTTGGACATCTGCGATGGCAACCGACAAGGTCACTAGGTCGGACGCTAAAGACTCGTTAGTTCAGCGCTGTTCTAAATGATGCTCTCCGAAGGCCTTGGAAACAAACTTTAGCCTTGGTCTTAGACAATCGCTGCCAACCTTACGCAACAAACCCACCGGCCAGCGTCAAACAGTAGAGCGCCACGACCGAACAGTCCTCCGAAAGCACTTTCGCAGTATGACATCAACTGTCGCAAAGATGATGTTTGCCGCAGCCACGACGCAGACCGGGGCGGCGGAGACCTTTTTGGATTCGAAAGCCGAGCTAGCGAAGTCAGGTATTGCCTGCACACAGCCTCGGAGAGTGGCGGCAATGAGTGTGCCTCGGCGGGGAATTGCCCTTGTGGTCGGCATGAGCAGTGAGCAAAGGCTGTTTGAGTTTTTGTTGCTCCTCCCTGCCATCCAGAGGTAGCCCAAAGAGTAGCAGATGAGCTAGACACGTTCCTTGGTGCGCACGTTGGCTACCTTATCCGGTTCGAGGACTGTGTGGCAACAGGTGAACGCACCGTGACCTGTTTTGCGTGTCGTGCAGGACAAGACCTCTTCAGAGACGATCCTAAAGTTCCTGACAGCAGCATGCTGAAAATATGAGTTTCTGGTTCGTGGCCTTGCTTGCAAACCGCAGCAGCGTTGACCTTCGCTGATTCGGCCAAGGATGGTATGCTGCTGTCCCTCGGCTGGTTCACAGTAGCCACAAGCCGCTGTGCGTCGACTTCAATTGGAAGAGAAGCTATCCGATCCCTGAGGAGAGAAGCCATGACAGATCCGCTGCTCACGAAGTACAGCGTAATCATCCTGGATGAAGCTCACGAACGAACTCTGGCAACAGACGCCGCTCACAAGAAAGTATCCCATGAACCCATATCAGTTCAATGTTCAATTCTGCCAGGTTCTATTTGGGCTTATCAAAGAGGTTATGAGGCGGAGACCAGATCTCAAGTTGGTGGTCATGCCTCTTGGAAGCACCAGTTCGCGCCGTCCAGGCATGTCCAGGCTTTAATCAATGCCTGCAGAGGTCGGCAACGATGGATGCTCAGAAGATGCAGGGATATTTCGTCCGGGCCTCGACCTTGAAACGAAGCTCCCGGTTGCTTCCTGGCCTCAGCTCAGGACAACGCTCCCCTGCTCAACATCCCTGGCCGGACACATCCCGTGGAGATCTTCTATACCTCTGAGCCAGAGAGAGCCGCTGTGATTTGCCAGCTGTCCTAGGCTTTTATGACGGATGAACTCGCAGTCTTCTATTGCTGTGTGTGTGTGTGCGTGCTTGTGTCTGCATGCCTTTGTATGTTCGTGGGGTCCCTAAGGATTACCTTGAAGCGGCCATGCGCACAGTGGTGCAGCGACCGGGTTGCAACCCTTTCTGTCCACGTCTGTGCTGAAGCCGCGAAGTGCAGCCGGGCCAGGATCCACAACTCGGAGCCCGAGGGAGATATCCTCCTCTTCCTGACCGGTGAGGAGGAGATCGAGCAAGCTTGCCGTGGCGGGCTCAGCGGAGCCGAGTCGGAAAGATTTCGGGTGTCTGGTGGTCTAGACACGTGGTCACCATACCCTCCCCGGCACAACGATGCCTTAGTTTTAGTCTCGTCCTCGCCAGTCCGAGCCGAGGTCAGCTGCGGAAGGAGAGCTCCAGGAACCCGGAGAACGGCGAGCTGGCCCCGCGCTTATCACCTCACGCCCCGAAGGCCAAAAGACTCCGCTCGGCTCCTCTCAGCTCCGTCTCCTCCATGTGCTGAGGTGGCCGTGCCTTTGTACTCCTCTCTGCCTCCGCTGCAGCAGCAGCGCATCTTCGAGCCGCCTCCGGGGCCGCGGTTCCCCGGGGGTCCACCCGGCAGGCCGGCAGGTGCCCCCGATTCGGCCATGAAACTCTGGGAACCTCCGCCCTTTTGGATCTGGGATCTTTCTTCCAGCAGCCACGTCCTCTTTGGGATCGATTCCCGGATTCTTGAGAAAATTGGCTTCGGTCCGTTTGCAGGAAAGTGGTCGTGGCGACCAACATTGCCGAGACATCCATCACTATTGATGGAATTGTCTACGTGGTGGACCCTGGCTTCGCGAAGCAGAAGGCTTCCTGTCTCTGTTGACGAAATGATACGCAAGACAAATCAATGAACACGTGAATGAAGAAATCTGTTCGCGACCTGTTGTTTCTTGGGCTCCTTGAGAAACCAAAAGACCACAGGAGACCACTCACGACACCACGACGCCACGTCCAGGATTGCTGAAAAATCCACTCGCTAGAGAACAACTCTTGTGAAAGGTTTAATTAGCATGGGCACCTAAACTTCTCCTAGCACGCTTTGGCGAATGCTTGGTGCCTGCGACTTGGGGGCCTTCCCCTCGAGCATTCACCGTGCATCACTGTGGTGCAGCAAGCATGCCTGGGCAGGTCTACAACCCGCGAATCCGCGTGGAGTCGCTCCTGGTCTCCCCGGTGTCCAAGGCACAATCAGGGCATCGGAATGCGTCGGACTTTACTTGGAACTTGGGTTCAGGGAAGGGATACGATCACTAAGCTAGTTCCTCTTGAATCTTGAAGGCAGTACAAAGAGAGGGTTGCGAGGGCTCTGCGCCGGCTCCGTGGTCTGGGGCAAAATGGGCAGTACACGGCGGCAAGTGGTTCGGAAGGCAGTGCTAAGGTGACAGTCTCTCCCTTGCGGCGTTGTTTGAATGCTTTTCCTCGTGCAGGCATCAGCTGCGCAGCGCGCCGGGCGTGCCGGCCGCACACGGCCAGGGAAGTGCTTCCGAATCTCGTAAAGCAAAAAGCTTTGCAGATTGGGGTTCGTTTCTGGGCTCGGTCGCCTCGATTTCAAAGCTGAGGACTGTACACGGAGAAGGCCAGGCTTGACCAGCCGAAGTATCCTTTTAATCTCAGACTGCTTACTCTGCAGCATGAGGAGCAACCCTCGGTGCAGGCTTTCACCACAGAGCTTGCCGAGCAAACCTATCCTGAGATCCTCCGGTCCAACCTGGGTGTGGTGGTAGCTCCCTCATGACGACGACCAGCCTCTGCACTGGGCTCCTGCTGTTCGACCGAGGTGCTGACCCTCAAGAAACTGGGAATCGACGACCTGGTCCACTTCGACTTCCTAGATCCTCCCGCGCCGGAAACCATGATGTGCCTCGGGACAATGATACACACGGGACACAGCTTTTTGTTCGAAGACAGCAAGGATCATCTCTGCTTCAGAGACTGCGCAGCCCAGGCGAGCATTGGAGATGTTGAACTTCTTGAATCATCTTAACGATGTCGCCCGGACTGAACGCGCAGCACGCATACTGTGCTTCACTGACCTGTTGAGGGGGGGTCTAGGACAGGGAACGAGGACGATCCCCCCAACATGCAACAACTTGCGTGTTTTTCCGAGCCAGCAGCTTTCTGTCTTGGGACCCGACATGGACATTCTTCGGGTATCATCGGAAAAATTGAAACGGTGCAGACACTAAACATGGCCGCCGTAGAGCCTGACACAATCAGACGAACCCCCGGTTCGGCGCACCAGAGCCATCGACTCTCATAAATCGAGACATTAGTGTCATCACGACAACCCTAAAATCCTCACCCTCAACCCTTAACCCCTGGATTCAACTCCAAACCTCCGAGGTCCAACGATTCGGGGAGTCCGCGAGCAGTGTATGAAGCCGCAGCAACCCTCCGAACCCTAAGCCTCAACCCTGAAACCTAAACCTGAGAGGACTGCTGATTTCGAAGCATTCACAAAAGCATAGTTTAGTTTGGCCCTTGTGGAAAGACGACACTCACAACTCGAGCTTCGCTTGACTGCTAGGCTGACACTCGCAAAACGAGACGGGTGACCAATCTCATCTTAAATCGAGAAGTGTGAAAACTTTGAACTTCCGGAGAACATGTCCATTGGCCCCTGAAGAGTCACAGGAGTGTGACCTGCGATGTCTGTAAACAGCCCGCCAAACCCAGTCGCGGAAACAGGTGTGCTGCGATAGTTTTCGTCGCCCCCTCCCTTATAATGTGCGCAATTTCTGCACGAATGAACGCCCTATGCGCTATGCTGCCACTGTACAGTCATTGCCATGAAGATTCACGTCCGCCGCCAGAGAGACAGGTGCAGAGACGCAGGCCCCAAAGCCAGAGCAGCTTTGAGTTGCCAGGTCCACTCTAAGGGAAAGGACTGCAGAACGGGTACCATGTTGAACTGTCACCCCAGCTAGCGAAGCACGGAGTTGCAAACACGCGGCAAGATAAGTTGGGCCCCTGCCTGCGGGCAGCCGTGGAATCCTACTACTCAGCCATTACATGGCTCTAAATCCTGCAGCCTTAAGCAAAGGATGGGGATCTCACAGATGCCGGAGACCAAGCCGCAGAATTCCCGCTGGACCCGCAGCTGGTTCCTTGCCTCGGCTTTGCACAGAATGAATCGGCGATGTTTACGACTGAAAGGGTGCAGGGTGCTTTGGTGCAGGGTATGGATTCGCCCTTCAAGTTCCGGCCGTGTTGTGCAGATGCAGATTGTGAAAACATAGTACTGCTCGGAATCTTGTACGGTAGGTAGCAGGTGTAAACCTTGGTTGCGCGGAGCAAAGGCGAAGATGCTCATCGACTCGTCGATGCCTTGGTGCACTTGTTCGTCAGTGTTGACCTGCTGCCATCCAGGTAGGTACACTTCAAGATTTGAGTGCTTGGGCACTCGCAAGATCTTTCCACCGTTTCCCTTGACATGCCACTACCTCAAACCCCTCAGAGCCTGTAAGGTCTCCTAAACCCAATGCCCACAACTTCTACACCCCAACATCCTTAACCCATCCTCGCACCGACTTCTTGGGGTTTGGTATTCCGGTAGAGGGCATGAAACTGTAAATGAAAGGCCGCCGCCGGTCCTTTGGAAATCTTCTAGATTCTAGTTCCGTTGTGAGACAACTGCAACTCTGGTTCGTGGGACCGCGCCATCTCGAAGAGTCGGAAATGCACCCAAACTTGCATTGAAAAGAAGCCTTGCATGAGGACACGTTTGCCCAAATCCCAGGCCCAAGTTCAAGTGCAGCAACGAGATGCTGTCCATCTCCGCCATGCTTTCGGTGCCCAACGTTTTCGTCAGACCGAAAGAATTCGGCAAAGCGCCTTGCTCGCAGCCAACTGTCTTTGACCCCGCTACCGTGAAGGCCCACACGTTTACTTGCCTTTTATCGGAGCTCCAAGGAAGCTGACGATGCAAAAGGCCGCTTCACACATTTGGATGGAGACCACCTCACCCTCCTCAACGTTTTCCATGCGTATCTTCGGCTTCTGGAGGGGTCTGGTATTTCAAGCTGTCCGGCGGTCCGTCCCAGACCGCAGTAAACAAATCCGAGGTACAAGCAGTATCTCACCGAGGGCGCAGATCCAACACAGTTCTGCTTCGACAACTACATCAACGCGAGGTGCGACTTCGTCCGTCTCATGCCAGGGCTCGCTACCCTTCGCAACCCGAAGCCCAGGTCCATGAAGTCTGCGGAGAACGTGCGCGAGCAGCTCAAGCGAACCATGGAGCGCTTGAACCTGCAGAGCTCTCAGCTTTTCAACCGCCGTGCTTCCAATAGCTGTTTGTACCCAACTGATGCAAGGCAGATGCTCAGCACGGACTTCAGAGACAAGGACTTGTCAGCCCTTTTTACTTCTCCCGCGGGGGCTTGACAAACACCGCCAGTGGAGGAGTATTATCCCAATATCAGCTGCTTTGCTGCCGAAGAGGCGTTTTCAGAGTCGGATCAAGTTCGACACTGCATCGCTGGATGATCGCTGGCCAAGAGTGAGAAGATGTCAGATTGCATTGTACGCTTGGAGAGCTGAGGACGCTGCCTGGTGGCCGGCTATTTCATGCAGGTTGCCCACCTCGAGAAGAGCAACCACTACCTGACTGCAACTCGAGAGCAAAGAAGACAGCCTGCTTATCAGACTTGCTCGCGATGTTTTGGCGCAAGGTCAGAGACAACCAGGTTGTGGCTTTGCATCCTTCCACGGGTATCACGCACAAGCCGGAATGGGTCCAGTCCTTGTTGTTGCAGGGCCTCATGTGAAAATTCATGCGCTTGCAGATGTGGCGGACCAGGTGCTCTACCACGAGTTCGTGCTGACGTCGAAAAACTTCATCCGAACTGTGACCCAGGCAGGGCCGGTAGTTGTAGGATGGTCTGCTGCAGCCCTGATGTGTGACAGCGAGTGCCAACGGCTTGTTGTCCATGGTGGTGCCGGGGTGTTCAGGGAGGAGTCTCTCCGGGGTCACAGCGTCTGTTCAGGTGAGAGGCGAATGGCTCTTGGAGATTGCGCCGAGCTACTACGATGTCAGGACTCGATGATGTCGCAGAAGACCTGTCAAGATCTTCAAAACAAAAACTCCCAACTGCCGCAGGAACTTCCCGAAGTCCGAGGCACGAAACCAGCTGGAGCGGCTGCAGGCGCTGGATCCACCCAGTTTTTGATAGGCAGTGAGACAGGACCAGGGAGCAGCTACGAAGCTCTTGCAATGTCGCCAGGCAGGGAAGAGCAAACCCCAGCAGCCCCAGCACCAGTGAGACAGCGCGCGTGACAGCGCCCACTGGAAAAGATCGCTGCGAAGTTTGGTTTGATCCGAGCTTTCAATTGGGGCGAGCACCTTGACGAAGCTGTTGCACAGGCTGCACTGTCGCATCTCCCGTCGCGAGGTCCGGCACACGCTCCGTGGCAACGTTTGGTCAGCCTGGGCCTTTAATCGGTTCGAGCTTCTCTTGTCATCAATAATCATCCGCATACACAGCTGACATGATGTGCCATCAGGTGAGAACCACATCCGGTTGGTACCACAGGGTGGGTGCCGACACGAGTGGGCTGTGCACCTTCATTGCTGAATCTAAAGCGCAGGTGCGGCTGACACTTCACGGAGTTGCGATCGCGCCCGCCCCTTTCGTTAAGTCGAACGGTATGCCCCACAGCCACAGACTTGGGAATTTCCCTGCTGCTAGGTCTTGCCGATTGCCGAGCCGCGACATCGCAGTGCGTGCTCGGGCAGAAATCGTCGCCGCCGCAGAGCACGCAGCCGCCACAGGCTTGAGGTTTGTACACTTGTCCGTAGGTCACTTGTTGCATGCCGTTGTCGAGCGGGCCTCTTGCTCCTGCTCACAGTGCAAAGGAGGCGATGCTGAAGCCGTCTTGCGAGCAGTGCACGTAGCAGGACTGGCCCTTGTCATGTGTGTGTGATATGCTTCTGGGTCCCTATGCAAAGGTAGGCAGGGTGTCCTTCGTGGGCTCTACTGAATCAGGTTCGTCCTTCCCGGTCCGTAGCGCCGCACTCTCGGGTCGACCATTCCGGAGTCATGCTTGGGAATGCACGAGGACGTGAGATGTGAGAAGTCTTTGTGGCAAAGGGCTTGTGGTTGGGATCTGTAGCTTTAGCTGAAAGGCTTTCAGAACTCTGCCAGTGCCAGTCCTCTTGACGTGTGAACTGCGGTGGTTGCAGTTTTCTGCCAAGGGTGGTCTCGGACTTTGCTATCAGGCCGGGGTGCAAAAGGGAAGAAAAGCTGCTGCTGCTACTGCTGCCGCCACCGCTGCCCTTTCTTGTTCGCTGCTTGGCACGAGACAACATGCAACCAGCCATGGGGTGACCTGTGCGCAACAGGCTGTCCTGGATGCCCGGCGCTGCACCGGGGGCCATCGCCTTCACAGCAAGACTGTGCAGTCGATGGAGGAGGCTTCAGCCAATTGGAGATGCCTTCGCAGCCTCCGAACTTTCAGCCTTCTTTTGAGGCAATCTTCCTCCGGCGAACGGCCCGGCACTCGTTGTGGAAGGCATGCCTTGGCAACCTCTGGGACACTGAAGGCCAATCCTACTCTAGACAGGGAAGGCTTGTTGGGTCTCTGCTGAGGTAGCAGACGTCCGAGAAGCTGGACTGCGACACCTCGGCCAGATCTTCAACGACTGGTCGCAGGACCAGCCCCGCAGCCCCGCAGCGCACGTTCCAGGTCTCTCGGTCTCTCGAGCATCTGAATGTACACAACCGGCTCGGTTCTTAGCGTTGTTCTGCAGCCCCAACCAGGAGCCCAGGCATCAAAAGGGCCGCCGCCTGCGCCGCTGCCTCCCAATAGACGAGGCCGAGGTGCGGTGTGAAAAAAACCTCCGCGGCATCCTGCGGTGCTGAAAACTTCCCGGAGGCCTACGCAGAGCGAGCTCTGAAACGGGCGGAGGCCGCGGCCGCGGCCGCTCTTGTTCCGGAAGCTTCGCTCGGAGCCGCAAAAGCCAAGGCCAGGGAGGCCAGACGGTCCGCACGGGCAGAGGGCCACGCCGAGCGCCGGAGCCTCGAAGTGCCCTTTAGGGTCCCAAAACCGACTTCCCACCAAGATGTAGCAGGCATCTTTCACGGGCCTCTGTTTTCATGAGATGGTGCTCGAAGCAAAGACGAGGATATGCACTGGCGGCTCGGTGCAGAGGTCTTCATGAAATTGGCGGGCTTCGCAGTAACACTAGTTGACCAGTTTCGAAATACTAACAGCTCTGGCAGTACGAATGAGACTGTACCCGTCCTGCTTGCCATGCCGACTCATCACGAGAGCATGGTCGAGAAGGTACAGCTGGATGCATTCCCTTCGAAATCCGAGGCCTTCGTCGCCTAAGTGCCCGGGCAGAGGCGGCACTGCGATGCGTTGCTGTGGCGGCCCAGGCACTTCGGGTGCTTGGGAAGCGGTGAAGGGCCTTGTCCTTGTTGCGCGGAGTTACGAGCCCCAAACGAGAATTCGCCTTGTTTTGTTGGGAGTGCGGTGGGGTGGGGTCTGCAATGCTGCTATGCTTCTCGCAAAGGCGTCCATGCGCGCCTGCAAAGGCGCGACACGCTCTGGGAGCGAAGGTTTCGGATCGTTCGGATGCTCCGAACTGTTGTGATCGCCTGAACAGACAAGGGACACGAGGCCTTGCAAGCTGCAGGCATGGGACGGCGAACGGACCTGGACCGCTGGAAAGAAGGTGCGCCGCCTCCTCGCCGGACGCAGGTTCGACGAGGGCAAGCTCCGGGAGTTTGCTAGTTCTGCTTGCTTCGGGAAGTGAAGAGTCTCCGAGTTCACGTTGCCGACAGCTGCTAGAATTCTGGCAGCTGAGAAAGTGTATGAAGCAGACTACCCAGTTCTCTAGGATGACGATCCTAGCCGCCCAGCCCTGGTTCCGCCCTGAAGGTGCTTTCTCCTGTGAAGAGAGCTAGGGCTCGAGCAGAGCTCAGTCTCACTCAGGGTCCGATCACTGGGGCGAGCACGACCCGAAGCTGTTCCACACTCTAAGGCTCTCTAAGGGGGCTCTCAGGTTTTACCACCGCCGTTCTTGTCGGGACATGGAAAGCTTTGGGTCGGAGGCCAAAGGTGCAGGTCGGAGGGCCTGGAACTCCTGCCGAAGGCGTTGGCATGCTTTGGCAGAATCCAAGCGTGGTAAATGGAAATGGTGGCCCTGCTTGCTATTCTTGAGCTGCCTCTTTTTGATGTCGTCATGGCAAAGCTGCATCCCTGCCATTCGGCTCGAATGCAGGGGGGGCCTGGCACTGGGTGGGGTACCCGGGTACTGTAGGATAGTCTAGGGTAGCGTAGCGTGTGTTTTTTTTGCAGAGGACCCTGCTGAACCGATGGTCAGGAATTTGCGCAGTTGACTGCTCCTTCGGCAGGACATGTTTAGCGACACCGTCGAGAATGAATCTACTCAAGCTCCAGATGACAGGTCGGTTCAAACTGCATTTCATCAGCTGGCAGCACTTTGTCGAGATGCCTCTGTGTCTCGTTGCAGGAGCTTGAGCTCTGTGCCGGAGACTAGTGTTGGCGGAATGGTTCCTGCCGTGTCTGGACCTTATGGAATCCTGGCCTCTTGCAGAGCCAAGCAGAAAAGAAGTGGGCACAGGTCCCATGTGCCTCAGAGGGCGCCTCTTCCTCGAGCAGGCCCAGACGACAAGCGCCAGCTTTTACCGCGTGCGTTTCCTGCGATTTGCTTTCTGCGATGTTTTTGGCCGTCGAGCAGGAGCAGCATTCCCCTTCTCTTTCTGGCGATTTAGCAGCCGCGAACGCCGCAAACATGCAGCGCCCTTTGCGACGGCTTTTGTGTCATTGTGCATTCAGAACAAGTTCTGAAGCCGTTTGTGACTTCGGTTGGTGCTTCAATGATTCAATGTCGCCACTACTCACCACTCCCTCTGCTGGATTGCTCCCTCGCGGCCTCGTTGATTTCTCTCTTCGTTTTTCTCCTCTGGACCTGAGGAGCGCGACTCCTTGCGCAGCCGCTCGAAAGAAGGTCCGCAGCAGACTTCAGCCGTTGGGAGTCGTTTGAGCACCCCGGAAGTGTCAATGGAGCATCGGGGTCTGATGACATGAAAGCCATGGCCAGGCATCCAACTAATGCGAAAGACGTATGTATGGAAGTTTCCAAAAATAGGGGACCCCATATAGTACCCTGAATAGTAGGATCCTTGTTATAAGGACCCCAAAATAAGGTACCCGAAATTTCGGAAACCCCCATAAGTTCCTCTTCCGTGCCTTCTGGTGTCGATTTTTTTCACGGTCAGTTTGGAAGGCAGACCTGGCAGTCGAAAGCACCGCCGGTACACGCACTCGGTGGATCTTGTCGGTCACTCAGAGGGACGGATGTGTGAGGCGCCTTCTTTTTCCCGAATGTGGTGGAGTTGCGGGTGGCATCTGGTCTCCCACGGTTGCTGACGACATCGAAGCTTCCACTCCTTTTCCCGGGTCCGCAGGCTTTGACCATCGTGTCGATGTTGCCGAGAGACAGCGGCCCCTCTGTTCTCTCCTTTCTGTGCTTCCTCGGCTCTTGGTACAGCTGAGATCCGTGGACTGTGAGACCTCGAGCTCCGAAACTTCTCAAACTTGGCTTCACTGGCTGGTAAGGCTGGACACCTACAGCCTAATCCACGCCCCCAGGGACATGACGATCATCCCCTTGAACATCGCTCAGTAGTTGTAGTCGTAGTTTATTATGGGCATTGTGAGAGGGCCCATCGATCATCCGACAGCACTGGAGCCATGAGCTAGGCATGGGCAAGAGGGCCCATGTCTAGGACACGGGCACTGAGAGAGGGCCTGTGTCGGTTCCTTGGGGGATGATCGAAAAAATTGGAACGATCGGCTAGAAATGGGCACTGTGAGAGTCTAGGACATGGGCACTAGGGCCCATGTCTAGGACACTGCTTGCATTTGTGCGTGGGTGTGGGTGTGGGTGGGTGATGTTTTGGGTATGTTCACGCGGTTGTGGCATGGTTGGGGGGAGGTTTGGAGGGATGTTTGGGGGCCATGTTGCATCGCCGAATGTGTGGGTTAGGCAGTGACATGGCCAGCCTTATGGTAAGCTTCCCTGCAACCTGGGCCCAGAGGTCAACACCTTGAGGCGTGTGATGTCAGCGCGTGGCGAGGCCCTGGTCTTATCTGGTCTTGCATCCTTCTAACTACTGCCTACTACTGTAGCTTCAGAGCTATATAAGCCCCGAGCAAGTGGGAAGCACCAGGAGAACCTGCCAGAAGATGTGGATGGTGTGGAAGAGGATGGATCGCTCGCAGAATGCCGACTTTTTCACTGAGACATTCCGACAGGGTTGCATGTAGCCTTACATTACGACCCCAGGGTTGCCCCGGCTGGAAATGCAATTTGACTGCACGTGAGCGGAGCTGGCAGAGCAGAAGGAGCGACCTCGAGTGCGGCCTTCCGCCTTCTACCGTCTCCTCGAGTGCGAAGGCCCGGCTCGGAGCAAGCCAGGTCTGGCAGAAAGAGCGCGAAGGAGCATAGGACGTGACTCTCCGAGGCCCCGGCAACGCCCTGGAGGCCTGGGCCGCTGCCGAAAGCCGCGGCCGCTCGCCGAAGCGGGCTAGGCCCAAGGCTGGGCCCGCGCAGGGTTGGAGCTTCGGGGATGAAGGCGGAGTCGACAGGGATGTGGCGCCTGGGTAGTGGGGGTTGAATTCCTGAGGGGGAACTCAGGTTGAGCCGAGTTTCCGTCGGAACTTCGCTTTGCAGGGGCAAAGTGTATGCCACGTGTGTCCGCCAGGGTGACGCCTGGGAGGCTGAGGAGCAGGTCCGCCAGGCTGCCGGGGAGTTGTCATCGGTTGAGGGTTTCCGAAAATAGGGGACCCCGACCCTAATATAGTACCCTAAATAGTAGGGTCCTTATTATAAGGACCCCTAAATAAGGTACCCGAAATCTCGGAAACTCCCAGTTGTCTGAGACCCGTGCGGGGAGTCGAAAGCGACAATTCTCAATCCAGGTATGGAGCGAAAGTTCTTCGGGGCTTTGAGGTCTTTGGGGTCTGTGGACGTCGGGGATCAAAGTCAGGATGGCCCGAGGCAAAGGCGAGGACAAAGACTAATCCCTGCAATGATTCTGCACTTTGAAGCCATGTTACATGGAGGCCCAGGTCGACCAGGATCATTAAGTTTCGGGCGGGTGTGTGCTTTACCACACAGGTTTTTCCGATTTACACTCCAGGGTGCCTTCAACCCTAAACCCTAAACTCGTGAATGTCCAGGTCCGCCGCGCTTTCCGCGAGAACTGGCAATTCCTTGCTCAGAGCCAGTCCTCACAGGCAGGCTCTTATCCATACTTCCGGTCTTGTGTTAGGTGTCCAACGGCCGGCCAGAGGGGACCCAGCGATTTTGTCAAATTTTGTTTTTGTTGCCCTCTCTCTTGAGCGGCTCTTTCACTCTGTACTTCTGTCGGCGCCCGACTTCATTCAACGACAGAGTTGTGTCTCGTCAAACAAAGGGGGCCAACATCTTTTTCCGCATCTTCAATCCCCGGCCTGCTTCGGGATGCAAGTGCAGAAAACAACACCAGCAAAGCTTTGCTTATAATAATAATAATAATGATAATAATAATTGTTGGACTGAAAGGCCAAGGTCTATTCTGTGCAAGGCTTCTCAGAGTTCAACAGCTGTACACAGCTTTGTAGTCACTACTTGTGCCAATTGTACGGAGGCATCTTTTTAAAGACCTCAAAGCCGTTGTGGCAGTCAGAAGAACTTGCGCACAAGCATTTCACCGCCATGGTGCTTATTGAGCCAAGTCTGGAGCAAACTGTGTACATTTGGTCTGAGTGGTTCCGACATCGAGCCACAAAGAGCCACTCCTGGCAGACCCACACCTTCGCACAGAGCTCGGGCCACCGCAGCCAGGAGCTGATAGCCAAGCTGGAGGAGCTGACAGAGGCCATGCTCTCATGTGCATAGTGGCATAGTGTTCTGCCCTGTGGTCTCTTATGTGCACCGCAGGCGCCCAGGCCACAGCAAGAACCATGAAATTCCGTAACTCTAGCGCAGATGCTGGCTGGATTCATTGGTGGATGCAGGCCATTGCGGCTGAAAGGATTGATTTTTTCAGCAGAACATGGCTAGATGACTACTACATGACCCTCCCCTGCCTACCTGTGGCATGCACATGGGGTTTACCACGGCTGCGGCTCTCGAGCAAGGGTCTGTCTGCTCGAGAGCGGTAGTTTTCTGCTGCTGCTCCCTCCCCAAGCCCTCAAGGGGAAGAAGTTCAGTCCTGGTCGCATACGACTTATGCAAATTTCCGAGAAGGAAGGAAGATTGGAGAGAGCTCGAGCTGTTCTCGGATCAGGTGAACCTGTGTTCGGACAGACATGCTTGTACATAATTGTACACATATATATATATATACATACACATCATATATGTATATTTTTATATACACAAGTGTATATACATGTGTATGTATACACAGTGTGTGTGTATATATATATATATGTATACATACACACATACACACACACATACATACTCGTATCACTGGAAACCCTAAACCCTAAGCTCCGGCGGAACTGTGCTCCAGTCCGGCTTCAGGTGGCATTTGGAAAGACGCGCGCCCTGGAAGCGGAGGAGCTTTGGGTTGCAGTTTGAGCGAAGGGGCTCTCCCACGGCACAGCAGGCTGCCCTCGTAGGTTTACATGTGATCTTGCATGATATATTGTAGTTTGCATATTTGTGTCGTTCTTTGCTTTTCTTCTTCTTGTCACGGGGCCTCTCTTTCGCGAATCGGTGTGCGGAGTCCAGCCAGCAGGACTTGCTGATGTGGTGAGTTCCTCAGAACTCCCCTCCTTTGAGAATCGTGGTCCCCGAGCGCGAGCGTTCAACAACAAAATTGTGTATGCGTCTCTGCATTGTCTCCGGTCGACCAGCAGTCGCGAGCATGAGGCAGCTCTTATGGACGGATGGTGACTTGGCCACTGAAGTCTGCTCCTCAGTGGCACTGCCAGTGCTTGTGAGAGGGGAAGCTCTCGGGCTGAGCCTCAAGGCCGGTGCACCCCCTGCCGATGAGATGCTCCTCATGGGCCTGAATGCCACGGAGCGGAAGGCACGGCACGTCGGTGCAGCTCCGCGGATCCACGGCTGATCGAGCATACCTGCAACGGCCCACATCGCTCGTTTAGTCTTCTTGTGCTGAAATCTGCTGACAGATGTTACGGGTAGCAGGGAAGCCTGCGATCAGCGAAGATTTGGCGTGTTTTTCCGTCAGGTGGTCCACCAGCTGGCACGTCTCATCGGGCTGCACTCCGAGAGCAGGTGCGGTGCTTCTAGGTTGAAAGACACGGCGTCCTTCTGCGGCACTCGAAGTCCTGCTTTGGGGCGTAGCTTCTGGTACAGCAAGCGCTTCAGCCCTGTCGACTGCGAGTTTTTGACGTAATAGCATTATTGCTGTTTTGGGTCATGCAGCGACGGCATCGCGCGTTCATACCAGAGCCCGGAGGCTCCTTGACGACGGCCAGGAGGGGGATGACGCAAAGCAGGACAAGGCGCACTCGTCGAGAGTCGAGGGTGTGTTCTTCGGAGTCTTGCGAGCATGTGCCTCGTGCCTCTCAGCAGATCCCCCCCCAAGGCATTGGCGCTGCGCCCTCCACGGAGCCTGCGCTGCCGCGCAGGATGTCAAGCAGAGCCGCTGCTTCCTATCCTGCTTTGCCTTGCAGCGCAAAGAGGGGTAGTGGCACGCAGAGATCAATTTCAAAGTGCCTGGTGTCATTACCAGGATCTTGGGCTGCACCGTTTTCTGTATCTCAAGTACTGAACTCTTCGGTGATGGCCTCGTAAGTGTAGCAAAGGCTGTCGAAGCTCGGAGACTGGATCCTCCAGAATTAAGGCGGTTTCCGCAGAGCTTTAATTGCCTTTTCAATTGCCGGAACTGTTCTGATCCTTTGCTTACTTGCAGAGTACAACAAACTTGCTATCGTGACAGCTCATCTGGTCGAATGTCGCAAACCGGATGCACTTGTGCCTCACTTCGCTCTCTTAGCCTTGCCAACAGCGCTCATGGAGGCCCCAAGTCCGATTTTCCTGGACCCCCTCAGGAAAGGAGGGCAAAGCTTCGCAATGTACAGTCCTGGGTGAGGAGGTGGAAAGCCACGGAGAGGCTCAAGCAAAGAGCAGGAACGACCTATAGCGGCCGAAGTCGAGCTCCACCGCCTCACCAAGTGCATGCGCTAAAATGACTTGCTGTGCGTTGCTGTGCATCTATGCATACATCCCTGCATCCTCCCGGACCGAGACTTGGAAGGACGGTACTTGCGTCACACATGGCAGCATGTCGTAGCCATTTTGGCTGTAGTTCTTGGGGTGTGGGTTTTTTTAAACATAAACCCAAAACCCTAAACCCCAAATGCATCTCATCTTCGGAACCCTCCCTCATCCTCCCTCTAATTTCGCAGAGGTACATGGGTTCCCGTAACTTGTCTAGCCATATATATGTCCTGCTCTGCTGCAATGCAAAGAGATCAAAATCAGTGTCATTGCCAGGATCCTGGGCTGCACCGTTTGCTGTATCTCAATTGCTGAACTCCTCAGTGATGGCTTGGTAAGTGTAGCAAAGGCTTTTTTCTCTTCCTGGGGTGCTGCCGGGATGTACGCATTGGGGTTTTAAGCTTGTGGTCGTATTGCGAAACGGGGTTAGGTGTTCACGCGTCAAAACCCAAGCAATCTCGTATCCTCTGCCTACTTGCAGAGTGCAACTTAGTTAACTTGCTATCGTGACACCGGCTCATCATGTTGAAAGTTGCGAACCGGATGCACTTGTTTTGTTCCTCAGTTCTCACGTCGCTTGCTTAGCTTTGCCAACAGGACCCCCTCAGGAAAGGAGGGCAAAGCTTCGCAGTGTACAGTCCTGGGTGAGGAGGTGGAAAGCCACGGAGATGCTCAAGCTTAGAGAAAGACGACTTACCGGCCCCATTCGAGCTCCACCGCCTCACCAAGTGCACGCGCTGAAATTCTGGTGCTACACTTGATGCCAGAAAGCGTGTTGCCCTGCTGAACCTGCTGAGCATGGTCCAAGAATCAACGTAATATGGTGCCCGAAACTCCACGCTGTGGTCTGCTGGCCTATAGTTGCAGCTTCACTGCATAAGCCATGTCATCGTCGCAGCTTGTAATAATCTGTGCTGAGTCAGCAATGTAGTGTAGCGCAGCAGGAGGCTTTGGAACAATCAAGTCATGCGATGTGTGATGCATGTGCAAACCCTCACCACACCCACATGCTGTCCACAGCCGTCCTGTAGTCATGCTAGCGCGGGCGAGATGGTTGCGTTCGCCCAGATGGGACAGGCCCGGCCCAGTTCTGGAATGTTCTGGATTTTGGACACATTGAAGCAACCAATTCAAAAAGTACGGCTGAGCGCAGCCTTCCTACGGCCTTGCGGGCACAGAAGTGTCACGAAAGCCATCTCTGGCTGCAAGTTGCGGTTAGCAAATCTCTGATGACGCAGCGACCCAGATGCTCCGGCTCATGTGATTACTAGATGCTTTGTCGGTGATGATTATCGGGGATGTGCTGTGCGGGTTCCTGTCATGCTAGCTCTCGCCTCTTTCCTTTCTCAACCCACCTCAAAACGCATTGAGTTTCAGCCGGACTGTATTTGTTGTGATTTGTAAAGCCCGCCACTGCAGGATGCAGGCTTCGCAGCTCAGACATGCGCACGTGTCAGGCACGAGGGGCATCCATGGATTGTGCCGTGTTCTGCTCCACGGCCGATACTAAGACATCCAAGGAAACGAGGAACGCGAAAACACAGCACCGGCTCAAAGGGAGCGCTGAGTTGCAGTCGCCCACTCACGATCTTTGCACTTCACCTGTGTCTGTGGCTTGGGGAGGTCAATCATTGTTGATTTCCATAGCCAAATGCATTCAGCAAATGTTTGTCATGGTGCGTGTTTCGTTCGTTCGGGACGGCCGAGACAATGCAGATTGGACAATTGGAGTACATGTCAGCGGCAGGCATGGCCTTTGGCCACCCAGGTCTTCATCAGTGCAGCACCCAGCTTTTGTTGCAAGGCGATCCGGGTTTGCGAAAGGGTCGCTTCTCAGAGATACTCGGAGCAGCTTGAAAAGCAGTAGACGGCACCAACAGGGTTCTAGGAGTTCGCAATCCTTCGCGTTCGATGTGTGCCCAGGCTTCGCCATCCATGCAGGTGTTCCTCCAGAAGTTTCCTTGGTGGCCCGACAAACGAGCCGACTCCCCAGTTCCTGAGTCTGCAGTTGCAGATAGGTAGATAGGTAGATAGGTAGATAGGTAGATAGGTAGATAGGTCGCGAGATGCAGAGTGTCGCCGCCCATGCCTTCGACATGTCTGTGCTGATGACCCAGTTTTCCACGCATCGGTCTACCGACCTATCGACCTTTCGATCCATCGACCTATCTTTCTATCGACCGGCCTGTGTATCTCAAGCTGTCTGTCTCTCGATCGATCCGTCGATCGATCTATCGATCTACCGATATAGGTATCTATCTATTTATCTATCTATCTTTCTATCTATCTATCTATCTATCTGTCTGTCTGTCTGTCTGTCTGTCTGTCTGTCTGTCTGTCTGTCTGTCTGTCTTTGTCTTTATCCATCTATCTATCTATGTATTTATGTATCTACCTATGTATGATTATGTATGTGTGTATGAAAGCATATACACAAAAACACATCCACCCGTCATTGATTGATCCCTCCCTCCCTCCCTCCCTGCTTGCATGCATGAATGCATGCATGAATGGATGGATGGATGGATGGATGGATGCATATGTGTATGTGTGCATGTGTGTATGTATGCAGTTGCGCCGGCCGAGACTACCGGCATGGGTGGACGTGGAGGGCTTCCCATGCAAAGAAGAAAACTAAACATGTGTTACGCATAGACTCAGACCAAACAAACCAGCAAACAACATGCGATTATGTACAATACGCAAAGGAAGCAGAGGGATAGATGGGCACAAACAGCCTCCACAGTTCCGCCCTGTCTTCCGCCGAGGCAGCTCTTGCCGAGAGGTAGGAGGAGACAGCTGGAGCAAAGCTTGCAGACCGCCGGGGCCCCGCTTTGGCAGGGAGCTGCTGAAGTTCTGGAGCCTAGCCTAGAGAGTCCGGCGGTAAGCTTTCCGAGACCTGGTGGTATGGTGCGGCCGGCATGACGATCTTCGCCCTGGTCTTCGCGTGTGTGCCGCCCCCTGGCAGCATCGTCAAGATACGAACGGTGCGACTGATCGTTGTGGCGCATGGGAGGGTCGGTGGCGGGGTCTGTCCCCAGGCTATACAAGATATACTGCCAAGCCACAGGCCAGGGCCAGGCCAGTTTGAGCTGGGCGCTTCGGAACTTCGGACCAGGGCTGAGGCATAGGGCTGTTAAGAGGGCATCCTTGCAGAACCCTTTGTCGCCTCCTTGGCAGGCCTGGGGGATCTGTGCATACAGCTAGGATTTCGTGGTCCGCATGAGGTCTGGAACTCATACTACTAAAGAGACGTTCGTCAGGCTGTCTTAAGACATGGAGCAGCGTCAACAGCACTCCAAACCCGGCCTTGTCCAAGCTAGCACGGTGAGACAGATGTCTGAATATTACTAGTCACGGCTGGTAGAGAACTCGAGGTGCTCTTGACCTTGACAATGTGTGAGCTGTTGGGAGGCATCATCGGTGGGGCACAAAGAGTACTCGCCACCTCCGTCCAAGGACCGACGGCTGGCAGCAGCTGTCTTGAACCGCAATGGATCCCAGACCGTGGGTAGGCCTTCGGGCATGTTGGGAATCCTCGAAGATCCCGAACTGCTGCCCGAGCTTTCCATCGGTTGGCCTTCGCGTCTCACCCTTCCGCACCCAACTTGTAATCCGAAGAACACGACCCGACACCTGCCCTCCCGAAACCTCGCGGGCGAGTGAAGGGGCAGGGTGAAGATCTTTCGAATGTGCCTTCCCTCTCGTCCGGCTTGAGGTCGACATCACCAAGCCTGCAGCCATGTCACTTTGTTTCAGCATCTGAAGACTCCTATCCAGGATTCTGTGGATGCCAAGCGCCTCGTTACCGTGGACTTCGCGGCGACAGTCCCTGCGTCAGCATTCGGGGCTCCTAATAGTTGACCAGTCGTTTCATGAATGAAATGTTGAGTATACCACTTTGCTGAGCTAACAACAACACCCACACTCTGTTTATGCCGTCACAGTCAAGCTTGGCCGAAGTCCTTGGAGACGGTGGCAGAGGGACCGTCAGGCACAGCATGCGGTTTTCCAGTTAACATTCTGAGCGTACGTTCTCCGGTGATGCTTTGAGGCCTCGAACCCACATTCGGATGCAAAATCACCATTCGTTTGGTAATTCTGGTAAGTACTCACAAGTAGAGTATCCGTGCTCGCCACTCGATGACTTGATGGATGGTGAAACACTGAAGCTTTAGTGTCGTAAATGCAACCCCGCATGATTCATTTCTTCTCCGACCATGGAAGTCAAAGGAATCCCTGGGATACCCTGCGAAGTTCAAATATGTTCTTGTAATACTTTGGTTCATGTAGGTCAACACGTGAAACATGGCTACATAGGACATACGTCGGGGAAAGTGCAGTTTGCTGGCGAGAGATCGGCATTCCAAGGTGGCAGGTACGAAGGCGAGTGTCATGGGGCTCGCACAAGCACAATCCCTTCAAACATCTGTGTCGCAAAAGAATGTACTGAGAAGTGCGTGGTTGGGGTCTTGCGTTCCTGCTCTATCGCAGACCTCAAACTCCCAAGGCTTCAGCTTGCACCAAACCCTGACAACCTCCCCAAGCCCTTGATCTGCTGGTCAGGTTCATAC